GCGCATCGCGGTGGCGGCGGGCGTGTACCACGAGCCTCTCTTGGACATGACCTCGGCGATCCACGGTGACGACATCTTGACCGAGGGCGAGGAGGAGTCCCTGGATGTCCTGGACCAGCAGCTGATGGCGAGCATGGACGTCAAGTGCATCGGTCGTGTCGGGCCGGATGGCGTCCGCGAGCTCCCGTACCTCAAGCGCAAGATCAGGTGGACGAGCAAGGGGTTCGTCTGGATCGGCGACACGAAGCACGTGACGAGGTGCGTGGAGCTGCTGGGCCTTACGGAGTGCAAGCCGGCGGACACGCCTGGGAGCAAGGCCACGGGCAAGAGCGTCCGGGAGGCGCTGGATCCACTTCCGCACGACGAGGCGAAGCTCTACCAGCAGGTCGCGGGGCTCGTCAACTACGTGGCGGTAGACAGGCCGGACATCCAGTTCGCGGTGAAGGTGATCCTCTCGGACATGGGGAAGCCCACAGTCATCAGCATGCTTAGGCTGAGGCGGTGCGTGCGGTATCTCCACGGTCGGCGCGAGCTCGGGTGGTTCTACGAGAAGCAGGAGATGCCCAAGGCGGTTCTCTACGAGACGGACTCGGACTGGGCAGAGGATGAGATCACGAGGAAATCGACCAGCTCCGTGTACGGCTTCTTTGGCAGCCACCTCCTGGAGACCCAGGTGGCGTCGCAGCCCGTCGTCGCGCTCAGCAGCGGAGAGGCCGAGTTCTACGCCATCGGCCGAGGCGCGGCGAGTGCGATCATGATGCGGCTGTTCTACCAGCAGTGTGGCATCGAGGTCGCGTCGAAGGTTCACAGCGACTCGAATGCAGGCAGGGCGATCGCGACGCGGATCGGCAGTGGCAAAGTACGGCATCTACAGATACGAGACCTGTGGGTGCAGGACCGAGTCAGGCTCGGCGAGCTACAGCTCGGGCGAGTCGACACGGAGAGCAACAGGAGCGACTTGGGGACCAAGCATCTGGACGGCAAGCGGGTGCTCAAGTTGCTGGAGATGTCCAACCTGCGGCTTCTGACCAAGGGGCTCGCCGCGGGCGTGGGCGTCACTTTCACGGAGGCGGCCGATCACGGAGACAAGCAGTGCTCCACGGCCGCTGACGACGAGGTCGAGTCGAACATCGGCTCGATCGTTCTCGCCATGATCGTGTTCATCATCGTGCTGGTGCTCGCGGTCAAGGGCGCAGTTGTGTGCACGAGAGGGGCGGTGCAGCTCTTCTCATCTAGGGCGGCGAGTGCTGCCCCACCAGCGGGAGCGGCGAGGGCTGCCCCGCAGGCCGACGGCACGGCGAGGCCCGAGGCGGCGTCGAAGGACGCGCCTGAGGGGCATGTCGTTTCTCGGGCAGCGGCGATAGCTGCGCCTGAGCGGGTCGCCGAAGGGCGAGACCTCGGTTCGGAGTACTTCGGGAAGATGCTGGCTGAGGCCACCGTGGCAGAGCTCAAGGAGGAGCTCAGGTGGCGGAAGCTGCCAGCGAGCGGCTTGAAGGCGGACCTCATCGTCCGTCTGTCGAGGGACGGCGGCCAGCATATGGCCAGCAGTGAGGGGCTGGCTGCAGCGGCGTGGGCCGCGCGGCTGGTTCCAGGCAGGGTGCCTATCCGAGCGTTTCGCTCGGATGCGAGTGGCCAGCAGGGAGGGGCTGGCTGCAGCGGCGTGGGCCGCGCGGCTGGTTCCAGGCAGGGTGCCTATCCGAGCGTTTCGCTCGGATGCGAGTCTAGGCTCGCACCTAGGCGCGCTTCTCAGCAGCACGGGGTAGGTCCGAGCCGAATGCAAGACCCTTTGAGGGCCACCCAAGACGGGAGAGGGCGCGGCCAGAGGCCGCTCCTTTGAGCCGAGGGCGCGCGTCGGGCGCGGGCGCGCGGGAGCCACGGCGGGGACGCCCGCTTTGGCTTGAGCTTGAGCCTTCAGATGGAGGCTCGAGCCGCAGTACAGAGAAGATGCAAGGCGATGCGCTCGCCTGCATCTTGGAGGCGTGTTGACTGTACATGCTAATCTGTAGCCCCTTGGTCCAAGTAAAAACCATCAACATTCCCGGCGGCGCCTCCAGCGCCGCCCCTGGCGCGCTCCGCGCGCCAGGGAGGGGGGTCCAGGGTCCGGCGCAGATCCAAGAAATCTGCGCGGAGCGCCAAACATTTCGGTTTATGGCTTTCTCTATTTTCTATTCACGAAGTGCTTGGCGAAAGCTTTGCAGAACTTGCGCAAGAAGGCTCGGCCAATCGACGCTTCTGGGGTGCTGGTCTCAGCGTGATGCGCACGAACTGCGGAGAAGGTGTCCGTACGGGCCTGGTAGTTCTCGTCAGTCGTAATGGCGTTGACGATCCGGCACCAGAACAAGATCTGCTTCGGGCTGGCGTTCGACGTGTTCTCTGAGCGGTCCCTGAGTGTCTTGATATTCTCCTTATTGGTGTTCATCTCGGTCTGCCCTGCAGCAGTTGGGGCGAAGTCTCTCTTGCAGAGCACGGTAGTGATAAATCCGGCACGCAAATCCCTGACGCCAGCTGAGTCAGAAGCGTGAAGGTCAGGCGCTGCAGTTTCATGATGTTCTTTTCTTCCGAACTGACGGCCCACTGCGCAGCGTCGTCGTGCGAGGACCTTCCTGCAAGAACTTATCCATCAGAAGGATCATTTGGGAAATGCGTCCGGACGTGAATGTTGTATGCTTCCGAACTGGCGGGAAACGCATCCGCGGCCTCGTGGTCCAGACTCCTCGGGGGCGGCCACGTGACTACAGGGCGGCTCTGCGCATATGCCCAGCGCGGAACCTATCCATGAGGAGGAGGAGGAGGTGGAGGAGGAGGAGGAGGAGGAGGAGGGAGGAGGAGGAGGAGGAGGAGGAAGAGGAGGAGGAGGAAGAGGAGGAGGAGGAGGAGGAGATGATGAGTATGAGGAGGAGGATTAGGAGGAAACTGAGGAGGGATGAGATGAGATGATGATGATATGAGATGATGAGAGGATGAATGATGTGAATGAAGGCGGAGGATGAGGATGAGGATGAGGATGAGTAGATGATGATGTGATGTGATGATGATGCTGCTGCTGCTGCTGTGATGATGATGATGATGCTGAATGAGGATTGAATGATGATGATGATGATGATGATAAGGAGGAGGAGGAGGGAAGGAGGAGGAGGAGGATGAGGAGGAGGAGGAGGGAAGGAGGAGGAGGCGGAGGCGGGGCGGAGGTTGAGGCGGGGTGAGGCGGAGGCGGAAAGGGGAGGAGGCGGTAGGAGGAGGAGGATGAGGAGGAGGTGGAGGAGGAGAGGATGAGGAGGGCGGGTGAGGAGGAGGAGGAAGGATATGAGGAGGGGGAGGGGAGGGCGGAAGGGATGAGGGAGGGAGGGAGGTGAGAGGAGGAAGAGAGGAGGAGAAGGAAGAGGAGGAGGAGGAGAGGGAGGAGGAGGAGGAGGAGGAGAAGGACCACGTATCCTTGGTATCGGTCCTCGATGCTCAGATCGCGAGGGGAGTGATAGGAACACCTTCCTCGCTTGCGAGCCTCCGTCGGCCGCTCGAGACGAGCCTGGCCTCTCCGGAAGGCTCCCCACGAGGCGCAGCTGACGGAGGGCACCCTGGGTGCCCGATACTGCTTAGAGCCCCCCAGAGAGATCCCTAAAGACCCCAGGACGACGACGACGACCACGACGACGACGACGGCGACGGCGACGACGACGACGACGACGACGACGAGGACGACGACGGCGACGACGACGACGACGAGGACGACGACGACGACGACGACGACGACGACGACGACGACGACGACGACGACGACCGGCACAGGCGGCGGCCACGGCGCCCGCGGGCGGGCCGCCAACGCCCCGCGCCGCCACGGCGGCGGCGCCGCCGCCCACCGCCCCGTGGCTCCCGCAGCCCGCCGTGTCGGCGGCGCCGCCCGCCGCCGCGCCCAGCGCTCGTCGTCGTCGTCGTCGTCGTCGTCGTCGTCGTCGTCGTCGTTGTCGTCGTCGTCGTCGTCGTCGTCATCGTCAGCGTCTTCGTCGTCGTCGTCTTCGTCGCCGTCGCCGTTCACAGGTTCGGGTCAGGAGCAACCTCAGGTGGATTCGCCAGATTTCCCCGATCTCGCCAGAAATGGAGCAGGGGGGCCTCTGAGGGCCTCCTTGGGGAGGCTCCGGGGGCCGGTTTCTCTGAGGATGTCCCACGCGAGGGCGCCAGTGTGGCATCCGCCGCCGGCTTCGCTGGATTCGCCCGATTGCCCCGGTCTCGCCGCAAACGGAGCAGGGGGGGCGGTCGGCGGGGCCATTGCCTTGCGCGCCGGGGGTCAGGATGACGTGAGTTTTAAGTCGGGCCTGTCCCTCTACAGGGGGGAAATTCGAAAATAGTCAACAACTAGTCTTGGGACTATTATTTGACCACTTTGGAGCATTCTTGGGGTATTTTTTTTTGGTATTTCTAATTTTTCGTCCAAGGTCCCCCCTGCAGGGGGACAGGCCCGACATACCGTGAGTTCCACAGAAACGCTGATTCTGAGCAGACTTCAACCACTGATTGGGCGGAGGGAAGGAAAGAGGGAAGGAAAGAGGGAAGGAAAGAGGGAAGGAAAGAGGGAAAGAGGGAAGGAAAGAGGGAAGGGGAGGGAGGGACGCCCAGTGATTTGAGGGAGTTCCACAGAGACCCCCTCAAACCACTGGGGTCCATCGGCGGGCGGCCGCTGCCTGCGCATGTGCCGAGCTGCGGGTGTGCCCCCTGTTCCGGGAGGGCGCCTGTGAGAGGCCGCCTGTGACCTTGTCCTTCCCGGGGATGCTGCGGGATATTGTGCCGCCACCGCCACCGCCGCTCTCACACCTCCACCTCCGCCTCCACTCCCACCTCCACTCTCCCGCCTTCGCTCCCGCCTCCGCCCCCGCCTTCACCTTCGCTCCCACCTCCCACCTTCCGATGTCACGCCCTCGTCCACATCCGCTTGCATCACATCCACCTCCGCTTCCTCCCGCGCCCCGCGCGTGCCGCGAGTGCTTCCCGCCAGACGGCCCTGGGGCGGCAGCCATTTTGGCTCAAGGTGGTCTCTTCGGAGTCTGCAGTGGCGCCAGGCGCGAGGGTGAACCGACCCAGCAGCCCGATGGCGTCGACACCGATGATGGCGACACCGATTCATGCTGGTTTCATGCCCGATGGCTCGCCAGGAAACTTGCAAAGGGGCCAGCGCAGGAAGAAGACTAACCCCTTCGCCGTGCCCCCCATGCAGCCGTACGGCATGATGCCCGACGCGGCGGCCATGAACTACATGGCTAGTGCACAAGGCTGTTGGGCCCTCTCTCTCTTCTGTCCCTGCTCGTTTCCCTCTCCCTCTTTCCATCTGCCCCCCCCACCCCTCTCACTCCCACATCTCCCCCTCGCCCATTCGCTTTCTCCTCCCCCTCCCCTCTTCCCCATTTCACCTCTCTCCCTCTTTCCCTTCTCCCCCTGCCCCTTTCCCCCTCCTCTCTCTCCCCCTGTCTGCTCCCCTCAATTTCTACGCCTCTCTTCTCCCCCTTCTTACTTACTTGCGTACCCGATTAGGTACTTCCTTACTTCATTCCTTCCTTCCGTCCTTACTGATTTACTTGCATGCACACTTAATTACGCACTCACTCACTTACTTACTTACTTGCTTACTTGCTTATTTGCTTACTTGCTTACTTGCTTACTTACTTCTTCGTTTACTTACTTACTTACTTACTTATGTACTTACTTGCTTACTTACCCACTTAGGTACTCACTTACATTCTTACGCACTTTCGTACTCACGTATGTACGTGCGCACTTTTTACTTGCTGTCTTGCTTCATCCATTCCTTCTTTCCTTACTGACTGACTTACTGACTGACTTACTTGCTTACTTATGTACTTCCTTCCTTCCTTCCTTCCTTCTTTTTTTTCCTTACTTCCTTACTTACTTACTTACTTACATACTTACTTGCCTACTCTCTCTCTCTCTCTGTCTCTCCCCCCTCCCCCACCCCCCCTCTCTCTCTCTCTCTCCTCTCCCCCTCGCCCCCTCGCCCTCCCTCCCCTTCCCACCTGCCTCCCCCTCGGCCTTCTGTTCCCCTCTCCCCCGTCGTTTCCTTTCCCTTTCCTCTTCTCTCCTCTTCCCGTTCTCCCCCTTTTCCCCCCCCCCCCCCCCCCCCTCTCTCTCCCTTCGCCCTCCGCATCCCGCCCCCCCCCCTGCTTCCCTCCATGCTTTTGCTGTCCCCCTCCTTCTTCCCCCCCCTCCCCTCTTTCCTCATTGCCCCCCTCAGTCCCTGAGCCTCTTTCCTTGCCCTCTCCCACTCTTGCCCCTTCCCGCTCCCCCTACTTCGCCCGCCAGGATATTTCCCACCACCTATGTACCCCGACCCTTACGCGATGCACATGATGCGCGGTATGTACCCCCCGATGCCGCCCATGATGCCCATGGACGTCGATGGATACGGCGGCTTCCTCGTCGTCGTCGTCCTCCTCCTTCTCCTCGCCGTCGTCGTCGTCGTTGTTGTTGTCGTCGTCGTCGTCGTCGTCGTCGTCGTCGTCGTCGTCGTCGTCGTCGTCGTCGTCGTCGTCGCCGTCATCGTTCTCGTCCTCGTTCTCTTTCTCGTTCTCGTTCTCCTCCTCCTCCTCCTTCTCCTCCTCCCTCTCTTCCTCCTCCTCCCTCTCTTCCTCCTCCTCCTCCTCCTCCTCCTCCTCCTCCTTATCCTTCTTCTCCTCCTCCTCCTCCTCCTTCGCTCCTCCTCTTCCTCCTCCTCCTTCTTCCCTTCATCTCTACTGCTTCCAGGATGAGGGGGAGGAGGCCTACTGATAGCTGCCCAAATTGAAATTGCCTGGGGGGTCCTACTCTTGTTGGTAGGAGGGCCGGTGGTAATCTCTCTCCCCCCTCTCTATCGCACTCTCGGGGGGGGGTCCTCAGGGGTTCCCTGAGGGGTCCTCGGGAGTCCTTTCTTCGCGTGGCACTGTATTGCATCGCTCTGAATCGTTCTGCTCTGCGTTGCTTTTTTAGTCGCTACGCGTTGCGACTGCTTTCAAGGGAGCTGCCCTGCTCTGCATTGCGTCATGATGCCTGGCGTCGGCGCTGTCCTGAGCTGCTCTGCGCTGCGCTGCGATGCCGTGCGCCGCGCCGCGTGGCGTCGACCGACGCGGCCTGCCAATCTTGGGGGTCAACCTTGGGGATCGGGATGAGCTCGAGGCTGGTTACCCCCCCCAAATTAATAATCAAATGAACTTGATGAGTTCAACTCATGGAAGTAATATGATTAATCTGTGGGACTTCATGAAGTTAGTTGAACTCATTAGTTAATTTACCCCTCTCCCCCCGAGGGCCCTTGCCGCGACGGAGGGGCTGCCCCGGCCCTCGGCCAGCCTCCCCGGATGCAGCTCCCCTGCTGCCCGGAGTGGCGCTCTCGCCCCGGGCGCGGGCCGCGCCTCTGGGATTCCGGGTGCTCCTCTCCTCGCCGCTGCCGCCGCCACCCTCTCCCCCCCGCCTTCCCCCTGGTCCTCTTGCTCCCTCCGCTCCTCCTGCTCCTGCTCCTGCTGGTGCTGCTCCTCCTCGTCCTCCCCCTTCCGCATCCGCCTCCTCCTCCTCCTCCTGTTTTTTTCCCAACCATCCTGTGGTGTTGGGTCCTCGTTTTGAAGAGACGGTCCCCGCGTTCCTCCTTCTCCTTCTCCTCCTCCTCCTCCTCCTTCTCCTCGCCCTCCTCCCTCCTGCGTTCGCATGCCTCCCCACCACCCATTTCGGCACACCCCTCACACGTTTCGTGGCCCCATAGGGAGCTCCACCGAAGGCCCCAGTGGCTGCGTTCGCATGCCTCCCCACCACCCATTTCGGACACCCCTCACACGTTTCGTGGCCCCATAGGGAGCTCCACCGAAGGCCCCAGTGGCTGCGTTCGCATGCCTCCCCACCACCCATTTCGGCACACCCCTCACACGTTTCGTGGCCCCATAGGGAGCTCCACCGAAGGCCGCCAGTGCTGCGTTCATGCCTCCCCACCACCCATTTCGACACCCCTCACACGTTTCCCGGCCCCATGGCTGCGTTCGCATGCCTCCACCCCTCACACGTTTTCGTGGCCCCATAGGGAGGCCCCAGTGGCTGCTGTTCCGCATGGCCTCCCCACCACCATTTCGCACACCCCTCACACGTTTCGTGGCCCCATAGGGAGCTCCACCGAAGGCCCCAGTGGCTGCGTTCGCATGCCGCCCCCACACCCATTTCGGCCCACCCCTCACACGTTTCGTGGCCCCATAGGAGCTCCACCGAAGGCCCCAGTGGCAACGTTCGCATGCCGCCCCCACCCCATTTGGCACACCCCTCACACGTTTCGTGGCCCCATAGGTAGCTCCACCGAAGGCCCCAGTGGCTGCGTTCGCATGCCGCCCCCACCCAACTTTCGGCACACCCCTCACACGTTTCGTGGCCCCATAGGGAGCTCCACCGAAGCCCGTGCTGCGTTCGCATGCCTCCCCACCCCCATTTCGGCACACCCTCACAGTTTTTCTGCCCCATAGGGACTCCACCGAAGGCCCAGTGGCTGCGATTTCGCATGCCTCCCCACCACCCCATTTCGGCACCCCCTCACACGTTTCGTGGCCCCATAGGGGACTCCACCGAAGACCCCAGTGGCTGCGTTCGCATGCCTCCCCACCACCCATTTCGGCACACCCCTCATACGTTTCGTGGCCCCATAGGGAGCTCCACCGAAGGCCCCAGTGGTTGCGTTCGCATGCCTCCCCACCACCTATGTCGGCACACCCCTCACACGTTTCGTGGCCCCATAGGGAGCTCCACCGAAGGCCACAGTGGCAGGGTCTGCATGCCTCCCCACCACCCATTTCGTGCCGTGGCTAGAGCTCCACCGAGAGTGGGCCTCGTTTGCGTGCCCCCTCCTTCGTCTCATATCCGTGCGGTACTCGCAGCTGCATATGGTTGGGTCCTTCGCCAGGCTAATTTCTTTCTCCTGTTCGGCCGCCACTCCCTCCTCCGACGTGCACGGCTTCCCTTTGCAGGCTGTTCGTAAGACGATGGGGTTCGTTTGGGGGTTAGGCTCCAGGTCCGCTATGACAACCTTCGTCGGATAGAGAGAAGTGGTATCGCAATGGGAAGGGATGGGTGGGAGCGATAGTATGTCAAATGCGAACGCGCCTAGCTTGCCTCCCTCCTCGCTGCAGTTATCATGTTCGTCACATACGAATGCTACTCTCTCTCTTTACCCTGAAGTTGTCTGGGGCGTGGGTCCGCCCTCTCTGCGGTTTTTTCTAGCGCACAGGATTTCCAACTATAGTTTGTGTTCCTGTTTCGGTGTTTCCAAGTGGTGCTCCCGCTGCAGCGTGGGCCTCATTTTCTGATCGATGATTTGCTCCTTTCGTTCAGAATGGCGCTCTCGCCTCAGCGTGGGCCACTTTTGTGTATCCTGCAGGCCTCGCATGTCTCACAGGTCTCGCAGGTCTCGCAGGCCCGACAGGTCCCACAGGCCCCACAGGCCCCACATAACCAACAGGTGTCGCAAGTCGTCCCGCAGGTCCCGCAGGTCCCACATGTACCACAGGTGTGTCAGGTCCCACAGGTGTCGCAGGTCACCACAGGTCCCACAGGTGTCGCAGGTCCCACTGAGGTCTCCTGGGTCCCACTGGTCCCACAGGTCCCGATGGTCCCTCAGGTTCCACAGGTTCCACAGGTTCCACAGGTCTCGCAGGTCTCGCAGGTACCACTGTATCCACATGTCCCACAGGTCCCACTTGTCCCACAGGTTTCGCAGGTTTCACAGGCCCCACAGGCCACAGAGGTCCCCAGGTCGCAGAGGTTCCACGAGTCCCACCGCTTCCACCTTTTCCACAGGTCCCACAGGTCCCACAGACCACATAACAAGTCCCACATGTCCCACCTGCCCCACAGGTCCCACCAATTACCTCCGCTGCTAGTATGGTGCTTTGCTGGGTTCATGGAGTTTTCGGTCGGCTATCACACGCGAACGTAGATAGAGAAAACCAGCGCAACGGGAAGGGATGGGAGGGAGAGATGGGATGCCAGATGTGTC